CAGATCTCAGAGAATCAGAGGGGATTCTGGGATACCAGTGCAATGATTCACTGTTGCGATCCTCTGCTGTTTGAACTGCATTAACAAGAGTATAGCGTATGCACATACATATTTATAAAGCGGATCTAAAATCTGATAAAGCAACATAGGCGATATAGACAAATAGCCAAAATAGATGCTCACCAATTCTGCATTTATTTGATCAAAAACACTGTAAAATTATGAAATATTATTACAATTTAAAATAACTCTTTTCTATGTGAATATATTGTGAAATGTAATTTATTTCTGTGATCAAAGCTGAATTTTCAGCATCATTACTCCAGTCTTCTGTGTCACATGATCCTTCAGAAAGTATTCTAATATGCTGACATGTACATCACATCCATACTTATTCTCCTCCACACTGCAGCATATATATATATATATATATAATACTGCTTTTAATTTATAATGAAATTTATAGTGAACTTCTGAAAAAAAAATAGTGTAATACAATATTTTTTTATAAATCTTTGAAAAATTATGGAAATTATTCTTAGAAAAGAAAATGGTGAAACATCCAAACACATTGTTTTAATGTGAATTGGGGGAGGGGCAGGGCACCAGTGACACTAACAAGAACAAGAAATGCAGACAAACCTGTCGCGAAATGTCACGCAAGAAACTGAAAACACAGCAGTTCAAGCCACTATTGATATCTACAGTATTTTAAGCAAGACAACACAAGAAAGAGATCTATGTGCCTCAAACCCTGTAAAATGTAAATCTTGTAAATCAAAAGCACCAAGCAGAGCAGCAATATATTGTAAACACAGACATGTGGAAACTGTGCTTTGACAATCTTGAAATCTAGAGTTGCACCGTCCTGAACTCAGATGACACTGGATGCTGTATTTTTAGTTCCTTCACTGCCAAATCAGTATTTAGATACTTCGAGAGGAAACAGCATCCCGTCTGCCCAGCTTAACCTCATTTCAATCTGTTTAGCATGTGAACAAAAGCCATCCAAACCTGTGCCACGCATGCAGGTAGAAAATAAAGGTACTTTGAAAAGATCTTGCTGATCAAGAACTGTTTTTCACAGTATGGGGTTCTTGAGTTGCTATATGGTTCTTTGGATATATATATATAAAAAAAATCATAATTGGTTGTTCCAATTAATGTTTTCCTTTTCTTTTTATTCATTAATTTATTATATTTTTTGTATAGTTTTTATATGTTTTATCATTTGTAAAAAATATATATATTATTATTTTGCATTTTGGTATTGAGCATTTAATTTAATATATTATTTATATATTATTATTTTATTTTTTTAAGTTATTATTATTATTGATGTTTTTAAAAGCTAAAGCAAAATACCAAGAAATGTATTTAAATATTTTTTATTATTTTTATATATGTAAATAAATGTTTTGGTATTTGGCTTTACATTTTAAAAACAATAAATTAATTAACGATAAATTAAACTAACTGATTGATTGACTGACTGACTGGATGGTTTTAAGGTGTAAAGTCTTTAAAGTCAACATGAAACAAAATAAAACAACCTTACTTACATCATGCAACATTTTGAAATTGAACTACATACATTGAGAAACTATTTAAACAAACATGATTTTTCATAAGAATAATGTGCACCAATAAGCTGTTCACATTAAGACCAGGAATGTGTATTAAAAAGCAAACAGGGCTAGTTCTGATTTCATGTTGACTTTAATATTTCAACTACTTTAATGTCTAAAATGCTGTTGAAGTTGAAACAAGGTTTGCATCCCGTTTAAACTAAAGGCTTGACATCAGCTGGAAAAGTACGTCACGTTAATTGAACATGGCAGTGTGCAAGAAATGGCATGATTCTCCCTTTCATCCACATCTGTTGTGTGTGGGGCGAATGGAGGGAAGGGAAAATGAAGGGTATGGTGTGATGAACGCTGAAAAAGTGGAGCTAGCCGTTTTCTGGGGCAAACCTCCAGAGAGACGCGCTATAGCTCACAAAGCGCTAACACTCATTTCAACGCTTTCTCTCCTTCACACTCATTATATCTGTCCTTGTGTGTGTGTTTACCTTTCCAAAATACATGATAAATATTAATGCAAAAATAAAACAAAAATTAATTTACACCATAAAGGCTGACAGCATGCAGAAAAAAAAATCTGTTTTTAAAGGAACAGTTCATCCAAAAAAAAACTAACAATCTAAGTCGTGTCAAAAAAGTAGCATGAATTTTCTGTTCCACAGACGAGAAAGAAAGCCATACAGGCTTCAAACGACACAAGGGTGAAAAAACAATGACAGAATTTTAATTTTTCGACGAACTGTTCCTTTAAGAAGATTTGTTGTTCCCCCTAGGGGATGTTTTACAATGCAGCAGATCTCAGAGAATCAGAGGGGATTCTGGGATACCAGTGCAATGATTCACTGTTGCGATCCTCTGCTGTTTGAACTGCATTAACAAGAGTATAGCGTATGCACATACATATTTATAAAGCGGATCTAAAATCTGATAAAGCAACATAGGCGATATAGACAAATAGCCAAAATAGATGCTCACCAATTCTGCATTTATTTGATCAAAAACACTGTAAAATTATGAAATATTATTACAATTTAAAATAACTCTTTTCTATGTGAATATATTGTGAAATGTAATTTATTTCTGTGATCAAAGCTGAATTTTCAGCATCATTACTCCAGTCTTCTGTGTCACATGATCCTTCAGAAAGTATTCTAATATGCTGACATGTACATCACATCCATACTTATTCTCCTCCACACTGCAGCAGCATTCATCTGCATGTACAGACGGCTCTACCCGTGACTCAGTCTTTCCAGATTAGTTTCAGATGAACCTGACCAACTCCAGAGTAACTCCTCAGCATCCAATTACAGAAGCAGAGCAACCGCTACGGCCTCTCATGCATTAATGCACAGCAGGCTTCAAAGTTAATGTATTCATCCATACTTCAAAGCAATTCACAGTACGCTAGGGTGGGCGGAAGTCTAACCCTCGGGCCGTCCAGGTTTAAGTGCTTTATTCAACAAAGGTGATCCAGAAAGATTTACATCACAGCATTTCTACAGTCTGTGAATCATTTCCAAGTTTGTTTTAACTGCCTTCAAGTAATATTCCGGGCTATTTACAATTTAAGCACAATAATGCTGTGGAATACCAAAGAAAATTATTTGTCGCTTGATGAAAACAAGCAGTACTGCAATGAAAACACACAATTAATATATAGGTAACACTTTACAATAAAGTTCCATTTGATAACATTAACTTAACATGAACTAAAAACAAATACAATGTTAACTCTAACATTTACTAATACATCATTAAAATAAAAAGTTATGGTATTTAAGGGACCTAAATACCTACTAACAATGAAGAGTTGTATTTATATTAACTAGTGATAAAAATATGTAAAAATATAAATTTGTGGTTAATTCAGGATATTTGGGCCATTTTTTCTGTCATCTAAATAGCAAAAAGACTACCAACTTACCTGAATTCAACCCAGGGCTCGCAACATTTCAAAATCGCTGGTAGCCCTTTGGGCAGACATTCTTCAAATTTTGGTAGCCCAAAATGAATTTAAGTAGCCCGAATATGAAAAAAAAGACATCGGCTGAAATTCACTGCGGACAAATCAGCATGATTAAAAACTTAATTGATCATAATAATCAAATTAAAAGTCAAGAGAGTAGGGATGCAACAGATCACAAAACCCACGGCTCGGATCATATTGCATTATCATATCAGATTTTGAATAACAGATCGGGTCATTTTGCAGATGAGCAAAAAAAATATGGTTCTTTATTATTTCAATAACAGAATACTTATTTGATACCACAGCAAAAACTAGTAGCATATAGGGATGTAACGATTCACTCAACTCACGATTCACGATACTGATTTCACAATACAATTTTTCTTTTTAACAAAATTAGATTTAAGACAAATTATAAATGAAAAGGTGTCCTTTTATTATTTCTCCAACAAAATGCTGCACATTTCTTTGTGAAATTGAAATATGTCAAATAATAAAACTAACTTAAAATTTAATTTAAGTCAAATAAAACAAATCCCAAATCAAATAATTAAATAATACAAATAAAATAAATCTCTTCATATAAACAAACTAAGGAATTTGGCTGTGCTTTTTCCTTTTAAAATCGGAGGCAACCACTGCATTTTAATCGCGAGGCGCATTGTCTGAAACGCGGCTCTCTGTGTGCGCTTTGAATGAGTGTGCGCAGCTCCGAATGAAAGGTTTAAAGCACTTGAATGTTTAAATCGGCAAGACTTAGAAACACGTGCAAACGATCAACTACGATCCGTTTTACCCCTACAAGCTAGTGAACAACGCAAATCAAGGAAGGAATTTTATATCACTGTTCAAGATAGCCCGTCGGGCAGGGTGGTGATACATTTTGGTAGCCCGACTGGAAAACACAGTAGCCCCGGGACGTCGGGCTAGCGATTTTGCGAGCCCTGCACCCTAATGCTTAGTGTTAATGTTAGTTAATATATTAACTATTAATTTTTAGGATAGCATTAATTTTTAGCAATGATTTATGCATTCTATACGAAAAATGCTTAGAGCTCCATTAACAAAAATACAAGCTTCACATTTTTTATTTTAAATAACGTGAGCTGCTTCAGGATTTCATTGTAAGTGCATTAATATAAAGACAATTCCTGCTTGTTTTTACAAACTAAAGAAATTATTTTCGTAATCGGCTAAAAGGTAGTCCACAGAAATTAAACTATAAAGCAAACAACCCAGAATATTCCTCTTAAGAATACAACTGTGATTCTCTGTCCTTGAAAATAAACGGCACACTTGAATAAAAAGATGCTAAATCGCCACACTACTTCATGAATATGCTTTTAAAGATCTCGTCTTATAAAATACTTCCTCTGTGATCCAATTCAATAAAAGTGTGCACCATGCACAGGTGTCTCAATATCTAATAATGAAGCGTGTTGTACCTCTTTGGCTCTCTCGAGCTCATTCTGCATGGCCTGTTTGGAGATCTCCACCTCGATGAGCTTTTGCCTGAGCTGCTCGTTTTCATCTTCTGCCCGTGTGCGCTTGTCTTCCACTGTCTCCAGTTCATTGTGCAGACGCACAGATACATCTTTGGCCACCTATGGATGGAAGCACATGTTATATTACTTTGTTTTCAACTCTCATTAGTTAGAGAAATTAACCAATGATAACTTGTGATCTTAGATATCAAAACACATATTTAACCCCACACATTGCCTATAAAAAAAACACCTTGAGGTCCTGCTCCAGACCGCGCAGAAGCTCTCCGTCGACGTGTCCGGTCTGAGCTACACGCAGGCTCTTCTGTTCAGCCTTGCGCAGGCGGTACTGCAGGATCCGGCAGTTCTTGTTGGAGCGGTCCAGTTCCCTGCGCAGTTCCTGGAGCTGGTACACCTCCTCCTCTAGGTAACTGTCCCTGATCTCCTCCATCTCTGCTCGCAACTCGTCCACTTCATCCTAAAGCAAACCGAATCAGGATTAGAATCAGAATGCACATCAGAATGAGAATCTGGATTAAAAAAGAAAGAGGAAGAGAATCAGAATCAAGATTAGAAGCCGAAGCAGGCGGTACTGCAGGATCCGGCAGTTCTTGTTGGAGCGGTCCAGTTCCCTGCGCAGTTCCTGGAGCTGGTACACCTCCTCCTCTAGGTAACTGTCCCTGATCTCCTCCATCTCTGCTCGCAACTCGTCCACTTCATCCTAAAGCAAACCGAATCAGGATTAGAATCAGAATGCACATCAGAATGAGAATCTGGATTAAAAAAAGAAAGATGAAGAGAATCAGAATCAAGATTAGAAACCGAATTGGAACCAGAACTAGAAAGAAAATCTGAATTTGAATTTGAATTATAATCAAATTCCGATTAGAGTTCAAATCAGAATCAAAAGAAAAATAAGAATGAACGGAAGCCATGAGAATCATCATTAGAATGAGAATCAATATCAGAAACAGAATGCCAATTAGGATTAGAATCAGAATCAAAATGAGAATTAGAATGAAAATCAGAATCAGAATGAACATCAGAATGAGAATCAGGATTAGAAGCAGAGTTGGAACCAGAACTAGAATTAGAATCAGAATCAAGATCAGGGAATCAAGGATAACATTCTGAATCATACTCGTTCAGAAGGATAATTAAAACGGATCTGATTATGGAATGAACTTGCACCGAAATTACTTTACGTAGGAGTAAACCTGAATGAACAGCAGAATGAGAATCGGGATTAGAAACAGAAAGAGAATCAGAAGCGGAATTGGAACCAGAACTAGAATGAGAATCAAAATGAACATTAAAATGAGAATTGGGATTAGAAACAGAAAAAGAACCAGAATCAGAATTGGAACCAGAACTAGAATGAAAATCAGAATCAGAATGAACATCAAAACTAGAATCGGGATTAGAAACAGAAGGAGAATCAGAATCAGAATTGGACAAGGACAATGAAAATCAGAAACAGAATGAGGGCTGGAACAAAAGAAAAATAATAAATTAGAACTACAATGAAAATCATCATTTGAATGAGAATAAGAATCAGGATTAGAATCAGGTTATAAAACTCTGAATCAATGCATTCAAAATTAAGATGAACATCAGACTAAAAGCCAGAATGAGAAACAGAAACAGAATAAGAATCAGGATTGGAACTAGAATGAAAATCAGAATTAGTACTGAATTAGAATTATAACACGAATCCTCATTCAGGATTCTAATTAAATTGATCTAATTTTGCAGTGTACATGAACTGAAATCATGGTCTGAAATGGCAAGAACAACCTCCTTACTACAATAAAGAAAAAGACACTTCAAAAATGACAAAAACAAATACGACTGCAGGTAAAGAAACTGTAATCATCGGTAAAACCCCCATCCTGAACTGTAATGAATGACTGTCATTTGTGACGCCTCATTTCTCAGTAAATACGGCACAATGCCTCAGCGCATTCAGTGTAAACAAGGTCGAGGAAGAACGACAGAAAGGCAAGGAAAGACAGACAAACAAAGACAGCGAAAGAGAGACAGACAGTGACAAACAGCCCAAACACAATGACCTTCACTGTATGATGTTGGGGGCAAAGTCATGTGACAGCAGCGTCCCGCCACATACTGTCTGGATGTTCCTGTCAAACATGAGTTATGGTGGACTAAACAATTAATGTCATACTATACTACAATAACATGGACATATTGCTGTTTATTTGATTAAATATTGATTCATACATGCTGCAGTATAGTATTACTTACAGAGAGACAGAAAGACAGAGAGACAGAAATAAGAGCATAAGCACATCTGCTTTAGGGAGGCTCCAAACACACGGTCCGGCTCTGGGTCAGGAGGGACGCGGCCATTACACACAGCTACTAAAGCGGATTAACACCACGTCTTCAGAGATAAACTTATGAAAATCCTGTTTGTGACAGCAGCCGAGCCCTGCGCATCTGACAAAAAAGATAAATCATTTATGGAATTATGCTAATTAGGTCTGCCTTCATCTACCCATCACACTGAGGGCGAAGACTGTGATGCGTTTCCTGCGGGAGTTTGAGGGTCTTTCTGATGCACGCTGGTTTCATCTGTTCTCTGTGGACTGATCTGACCTAAAAATCAGCTAAAGTGCAGATTTATGGATCTAGATCTTACTCTCCTCACAGTACCATGGTATTTTTTTTAAGTATCTTGGAGTACCTTACTATAATGGCACTGTCTTTTGATACCATCACAGCTCTTCTTGTAAGAGATGTTGCATCATGTTTATATGGTACTCCAAAGTTCTTCAAAGGTCAAAAAAATGTGCCATGCTACTTATGTATTTATTTACTCTGGAAAACTTGCTTTAATGGACAAATGATGCAGCAGTACTGTTAGCCTAAGAGATGAAAACCAATAGGATGAATTTAATACATGGGCAAGAACATAAAGAGGGTCACCATGTGCAAAAACTAATTACAGTCTATAACTCTCGCATGGATTTATAGCAGCAGCTCAACCCATAATCCTTCAGATAACCACACAAGACATCAAAAAAAAGTAAAATAAATTTTGTATTACATTATATTTATAATAAAAATCGAATTTAATAAATAAACATAATACAAATATTTAAAACAAAGACAAAAATATTTTAAATAATCTGATTATATATGTGCATATACATTTTTTTTATAAAACAATTAAAAATATAAATAATGTTATAAATGTATAATTTATAGATTTATTCTTTTTGTCTTTGTATTTTATAATATTTTTATGCATGTATATACACACACAAAATAGACAACAATAAAGAAATACACACACACACACACACACACACACACAAACATTCAGTAGTATTGTAAATCAAAGTTCCCCACTGTACCATGGTACTACTTTACTTTTTAAAAGTTTAACCATCTCCAAAAAAAAAACCCCTGGCAGCTTCATGCTGATACTGAACATTCAAGTAGGCCTACTATTTTCCATGGTACTAGCACAAGTCACTTTTAAGAATACCGTGGTAGTACCATAGTAGCCTACATTTCGGTGCGTCGGCTCACCTTGAGGTAGTCATTTTCCGATCGAAGGTCTTCGATTTCCCTCAGCAGCTCCTCCTGGGCCATTTCCTTGCCCTCCGATTTGAATTGTGCGTCTTTCTCGGCTTTGCATTTGTCCGCGTGCGCACCGGGCACAGGTGCAGCTCCCGCCCCTGAGATCCGAACCCGAACCCCGGCCGCCTGCTCGCTCGAACCGGAGCCGCTACCCGACTCCGCATCGCTACTGGCGGCCTGAGCGAGTCTCTGCTCGTCAGACAGCGGCTCGGAGGGACAGTCGGACAAATCCGAGCTGCTGTCCGTCTGACAAACGCCGCGTCCGGTGGGGACGCGTATCGGGGCCAGCCGTCCCTTGCTCTTGGCGATCTGCGGAGCGGCGGCATCAACCGCTTTGCAGGCCGGTTTCGTCTCGGATGCTGCATGCTGAGTGACCTTAACGGCCTTTTTTGTCGCTGAGGGCTTGCTGTTGCTTCTTGCAGGTGCTGATGCGGTTTTGTCCTTCGCGCCCGGAACGGTGCGTCTCGGAACGCGGCTCTGAGGTGTCACCGGCGCGGCGGACGCTGGCTGCTTGTTGAATTTGGGGGATTTTGGCACGATCGGTTTGGCTGTTCGCGAGTGGACATCCTTCAGGACGGGTCTGGCAGGGGACGGCGCTCGGTTTAACCTCTTCTTCTCCACCTGAGGATGAGGATGATGGCTCTGCGGTTTGGTGTCGGAGCCATTGGAGCTCTCCATTATACAACCTGACAGACGGAACCAGCCGCGCGTTTCTGTCTCATCACTTCAGATGGACGCGCGCCCGTAATTCACTTGCCCTCAGCCATCGCCGCGCTTCCGAACGGAATACGGTGGATGAGGTGGTGTCAAGTGAGAATCTCCGTGCTTCTGTGCGTTTAAAATCAATCAATCAGTCCGTCCATCCCTCCCCCCCCCCCCGGGATTACAGTATTCCCATCTCTCCCTGCTGTCCTCTCCACCTCCTGGCCGCTTCTCCCCCCCCGGCTGATGGGAAAATCTGCTGCCGCTGCGGTCTGACGCTCCCCGTCCGTGTCTCGGGTCTCGTGGAGCGCATGCGCTTGTTTTTCACACACAAATACCGAACACACGCACACACATCGGTTTGTTTTTATGATTTATGGGGACTCTCCATAGGTGTAATGGTTGTTATACTGTACAGACCGTATATTCTATTGCCCTACACCAACCCTACCCCTAAACCTACCCCTCACAGGAGACTTTCTGCATTTTTAGATTTTCAAAAAAACTCATTCTGAATTATTTATAAGCCTTTTGAATTACGGGGACACTGAAAAT